GTGTGTGTGTGTGTGTGTGTGTGTGTGTGTGTGTGTGTGTGTGTGTGTGAGAGAGAGAGAGAGAGAGTTTTAGCTATCTTTATCGTATACTTAGATTCTTTTCATGACTAGAAAATAGAAAACGGATCACTACTCCTTATATCACTGTTCTTATATTACCTTCATTCCAAAGTTGCTAGCAGCATATTCAATGAAATACAACAGAGAGCTCTCCTGTGGAGTATTTCCTCGTCTCGTTGACTAAGCTGCTTTTGATTGTTGATGGCTCTATTATTTGATGTTATGCACTTTCATAATAGAGCAAAGTTGCCTGTAATATACCCCATAAACAGAACTGTTTTATCATTTGAGGCCCCGTGTTCAATCCTTTGTACTGAAAAAGAATACACAATTAATCCAACAATATAATATGTATATAATATTAACATGCTTTATGATAAAATGCTCTAGAAACAGTAGGAAGTGCTAAAATTCCTATGTAGATCCATTTGTATACATTTTAGTGGATTTTATCTTATGGTTCTTTAAAATTTTTTATTAAAAAAAAAAGTTTTGTACAGTATTCCCCTCTACAATTTTTCCCAGATTCTCCCCATCTCCCTACCCACCCAACTTCATGCTTACTCCCCTACAAATGCCATCTCGCAAACACCCCCAAGAAATAGCAAAATCAAAAACAAAAATAGAGTTGAACAGGTAAAGAAACTAAAAAAGAAAACAAAGTAAATGAGTTTTTTTTTTTTTTTTAAGTACACACAAGCACACACAAAGTGGAGTCTGTTTTGTTTTTTCCAACTACTCCTGGTCCTGGAGCCTGCCCTGGAGTGTCATTAACATACCCAGTGATACTGCATTGAAGAAAACTGGGTTTCCCTTTCTCATCTAGTATCAGTTGCAAATAGCTTCTTGGTTAGGGATAGGACACTGTCCCCTTTCTTTCTCTGTGCTGGAATTTTTGTCTGGCTTTACTGTATGCAGGTCTTCTATGTGCTCTCACTACCCCTGGGAGTTCATATGTCTGTCTTGTGTCTGGAAGATATTGTTTCCTTGGTACTCTCTTCACCTCCCCTTACAGAGATTCCTAAGACTTGAGAAATGTTTGATAAAGCCATCTCATTTAGGCTGAATACACCAGTGTCTCATTCTGTACATTGTCCAGTGTGGATCTGTTTGTTAAGTGTCATCTACTGCAAGAAGCATACCTGATGACAGCTGAGTGAAGCAGTGATCTTTGGATATAACAATATGACATTAGAAATCATTTTACTGCTGTGTTCATTTAGCAGAATAAAATTATTAGGGCCTCTGGCCTATCTCATCTCAGGTTCTTGGCCATTTTAACAATGTCATGTATGGGTTCCATCTCATCAGGATTAAATCGGGAGAGGGTGGGAAAGAAGAGTAAAAAGGGAAATGTGGGAAGGAACAAGGACACTAAAGGCCTTTTAAAAAACTGTGGAAACTGACTAGATGCTTCCTAAAATACATACACACATTTTAAGTGGAGTTTCCATATATTGGGGGAAACAGTACCTCAAGTAAACATCTTATCCCACAAAGTAAAACCTCCAGTGTGGGGAATAGGTTATATCTTGTTGAATCATTGGCCAAAGGAGTCCCATAAACATCACTAAACATCACAGGCTATTGCCAAGGCTATTGGTTACTCTTTACAACCTATGGCAGGACCCCATTGCTGAAGATACAGCTTACCTATGTCATTGAATGTGGAGAAATGTGAGCTGGTGCCCAGTTAGAAGCTACTACTGATAAGTGTTCATGACACTGGGAAGTACACACTACTGGAGGAGAAAAGTAATCAGTTTCACCCAGTTTCAAACCCTCTGACCTATAACAGAGGCCGTCCTGTGAGATATAGTGGTACAGTGCTGACACAAATGTTATAGGAATAACCAGCCATTTTTGAAGTGAATGTATTTTATGGCTCTTAAACCGTAAAAAGCATTTGGTTTCAAAAAATGCCTCAAAAAAAAAAAAACGAAAACAAAAAAACATTTGGTTTCTTTGTAAGACATCTACATTGTTCCTTTGGTATCATCACACAAACTATATCACGATATTAACATTAAAACACATTACAAAACACCATTTTTCTAAGTTGTGAACTTGGTCAGTAACTCTTAGAATTGCAGAAATACAAAAAAATTCTTCTTCCGGCACATAGCAAACTAATGTCTACACAGTTTTGAAAACAGACCCTTAAAATTGAACTTGAATTTTCCACCTCTCACTTGACATTTATATCATCCCAGATTAAGGAAACTTCTAGATATCCAAGGCCCACTGAGATTATTAGTTTAGAGATTTTTTTTTCCAGTGAGTGAAAAAAACATTTAGGGATAATGATTTTATGTAGGGTAATGAGTTTGGATGTTTTTGGTTATTTTCATTTTGGGGTCTAAATATCTTTGAAACTACAGTGGTCAATTTTTAAAACATGAATTAAGCTCTTCCTATGGTTATGATTTTTATAGGTCAAATCTTGGTTTGTTTCTAATACTCGTATTCACTCATTGCATTTCTCAGGAGGTTTTATGAAGATGGAGCCATTGTCTTGGGTGAAGAAGCAAACATGCTTGCCGGCATGCTACTTGGACTCAATGCTATTGACTTCAGGTACTCACAGTTCAACCAAATGAGCTCATTTTTTAAATGATTATACCTACTAGTTTCTACTCATGGCTTTTCTTCCAGTTTTATAAGTAAAATATGGTTAGACTTTGATATTTGATTTATATTACTTTCAGATCAGTTAGTTTTAAAATACTCCTAGAAGAAAGACAATAAAATGGGTTCAAACTTTATCAGGGCTGCTCTCTTAGGCTGGGTAATAGGGAGGAGTAGATTGTATCCAGCAGCAGGAGTCTGATGGCAAGCAAGGGGAATCTCTGGATTTTACTCTCGGTGTTTTCAGCTACTGCTTTAAAAATCTAAAGAGATAGATTTAAAAGAGAAGATTTAAAGAAGCAGATTTAAAGTAAGCAAGGTTCTCCTTTTCCCATGTCTAGATAGAGAAAATTCTGGGAGGATGTCTTGGGTGCCTTATAGTTCTTGTGTTATTAATATTAATATAGAATATAAATATTATTGTTAATCTTTCTTTCATCCTAATCAAGATGAATTAGTTCCAGACTAACAAAATCTACTCTCTAGATTCTGAAAACATAATCTTGCATTTAATTCATCTCAAATTATATATTATATTAAAAATAAAAAGTTATCTGTAAGAAAACTCAAAGATAAGAATGAAAGGATATTGTTATAAATAGAATCATTTGAAAAATTCAAGAATATCAACAAAATGAGATTGAAATGACTTTCGGGCTTTGACTTTAACTAATAATTATTTGACTTTGAATTCCTATAATTTTCAATGTGGTTGCCTTTATCTAGTAACTTACTTTCTCTTTCAAATATTTGTCATTTCATGTCTTGATTTCCCCTGTTTGTGATTTAATAAACTACTGTTAGCTTAATTTCGAGGATGAACATCATAGAGTCTAAAGGTTCTCTCTTTTAAGTGTTTTATTGCATTTATTTATTTGGTGTGTGTGTGTGTGCATGCCTCAGTGTGGCTGTGGAGGTCAGATGGCACTTTGAGGAATTCTGGCCTCTCCTTTTACCATGTGGGTCCTGAGGATTGAATTCGAGTCATCAGGACTGGTAGCAGGCACCTTTCCTCACCAAACTATCTTGCCAGCCTGAAGAATGTATTTTTGATCCTCACGTATTGCTAACTCTTTCAATAGGGTATCGTATCATCCTAATCCTTTAAGTCCATGTTTTATGTGTTTGAGGGTTGTTTTTTTTTTTTTTTTTCCTCTTCTCTTTTAAAAATCTTATTTCATGTACATACCACCATATTCCCCTCCTGGCCATTATACACTCATGGTGCAAAATGCATACAGCCTTAACTTTTTTTTTTTTACTCTTTTTAAAATTATTATCATTTATTACAATTTATTCAGTTTGTGTCCCAGCTGTGGCCCCCTCCCTTCCCTCCTCCCAACCCACCCTCCTTCTTCCTTCTTCCGCTGTGCCCCTCTCCTAGTCCACTGATGGGGGAGGTCCTCCTCCCCTTCTATCTGACGCTAGCCTATCAGGGCTCATCAAGGCTAGTCTAAGTCTTTAGCAGTCTGGACACTGTTCAGAAGTCTCAAGACTGAAGTCTCTTCTGAGTCTTAAGACAAACTTTTGACTGTGAATGACTGTTAACAAAGAAATAAGTTCCATACTTCCACCATACAGTGACACATTCTCATTCTAAACGGGAAGAATGCAAGCATATGGAGCTTAGACGAAAGCAGGAACTGCAGCAGGGCAAACACCAAATCCTGTGGTTCTGTGCCCTGTGTTTGTGGCTTTAGTTTCAAAGGACATAGATGGAGCCCTCTCTCCATACACCATGCAGCCTACAATCTGTGCCTCTCTCTCCGGCTGTTTTCACTCCTGGTATGCGGCACTCCTTGGAATACATTTTATGGTCCTGACATCTCCAGCATCGTAGGGTCTACACTGTAACCCTGCCTTCACCTTCAAAGCTTCAGGACATGGCCTCTTAGGGCCTCTTTGCAGGGACTCCAGCCTATTACCCCATCACACATTGCCTGCCATATGCAGCTTCCTGAGTTCTTGGAAGAAGAATCCCTGATCCCCTCAGTCTTGCGTCTATTATGCCATCAAACTAGACTCACTGCCAAGTTCTGCTTCCACTTGGGGTGGAGCCCAGCCTCCTAGGACTACAGTTGTAGCAGCTTCTATGTGCTGAAACCAGTAAAAAAATAAAATTAAATTAAAAAAATCCCTATACAGTTGCTTTCCAAGAGCAAGAAGATGCATCAGGCTCTCTTATTTAAGAACTTGGAGCCTAAAAAGATCATCCTGACTGAGGTATCCAAGAAACAGAAAGACACACATGGTATATACTCACTTATAAGTGCATATTAGACATATAATACAGGATAAACATACTAAAATCTGTACACCTAAAGAAGCTAAGCAAGAAGGAGGATCCTGGGTAAGATGATCAGTCCTCACTCAGAAAGACAAACGGGATGGACATTGGAAGAAGGAGAAAACAGGAAACAGGACAGGGGCCTACCACAGTGTGTCAAAGCAGATGCTGAGACTCATAACCAAACTTTGGGCAGAGTGCAGGGAATCTTATGAAAGAAGGGGGAGAGTGTAAGACCTGGAGAGGACAGGAGCTCCATAAGAAGAGCAAAAGAACCAAAAACTCTGGGCCCAGGAGTGTTTTCTGAGACTGATATTCCAACCAAGGACCATTCATGGATATAACCTAGAACCCCTGCTTAGATGTAGCCCATGGCAGTTCAGTATCCAAGTGGGTTCCCTAGTAATGGGAACAGGGACTGTCTCTGACATGAACTCAGTGGCTGGCTCTTTGATCACCTCCCCCTGATGGAGGAGCAGCCTTACCAGGCCACAGAGGAGAACAATGCAGCCACTCCTGTGAGACCTGATAGGCTAGGGTCAGATGGAAGGGGAGGAGGACCTCCTCTATCAGTGGACTTGGAGAGGGGCATGGGAAGAAATGAGGGAGGAAGGGTGGAACTGGGAGGGAAGGAGGGAGGGTGCTGGGATACAAAGTGAATAAATTGTAGTATAAAAAAATAAAAATTAAAAAAATGATCATGCCACTCCACTAACTGTTGCATTGTCTTAAAATTTCTTCCGCCAAGAAAATTAGTCCATTAGTTTGAAATTCGGTCTCACATATGTTCTCAGAATGTGTGCCAAATGTAACCAGATTCTTTGCCAAACTATCATATTCTTGATAGAATCTTTTCTCTAACCCTCGTTAGCTGGGCTTCCACTGTCCGAGTTTCTCTGGATTGCTATTACCAGGTTATATTGTTGCCTTCCATGGTCCCGTTAAAATGGCCTATTAGCTCTGCTTATAACATTTAATGGCTTTTCCAGCCCAAATTACCAAAATGTTCCATATTGCTCCTATATAATAACGGTCTAAAACTACATGGTCTGGTTTACCACAATAATGAGCCCATTTCCGGTAGTGCTTATGTATTAGCTTCTTCTCTGTTGCTGTAATAAAATCCCCTGACAAACAGCCTAAAGGAGAAGGAGCTTGCTTTGGTTTGTAGTTTCAGAGGGTTAGAATCTCTCATAGTCCTATCAGTGGACTAAGGGACGACCATAGTGGAGAAGAGGGAGGAAGGGTGGGACTGGAAGGAGTTGAGGGAGAGAGGTACAGCCAGGATACAAAGTGAATAAATTGTAATAAATAATGAATAAATAAAAATTTTAAAAAGGGGGGCTGGAGAGATGGCTCAGAGGTTAAGAGCACTGGCTGCTCTTACAGAGGTCATGAGTTCAATTCCCAGCAACCACAAGGTGGCTCACAACCATCTAAAATGAAATCTGGTGCCCATTTCTGGTGTGCAGGTGTACATGCAAACATACATTGTAAATAAATAAATCTTTTTAATTTTTTTTAAAAAAGAATCCATCATAGCAGGGAAGAAATAGCAAGTAGAGAAGACAGGCAGCATGGTGACAGGAGCAGGAAACTGGCAGCTCACATTGCATCCCCACTCAAAAAGCAGAGTGGGAGTAGGATGTGGGGCCAAGCTGCAAACCTCAATGCTGCCTCCCTCACTGACAGCTTCCTTCATCCAGACTCCACCTCCTAAAAAACCCATAACCATCACAAGCAATGCCATCGGCAGGGGACATTCAGAACTGCCTTTAGGGATATTTCTATCTGAACCATAACTTATGTGCACGTGCATGTTTGTGTGTGTGTGTGTGTGTGTGTGTGTGTGTGTGTGTGTGTGTGTGTGTGTGTGTGTAAAATGTGCATACACAGCGGTCAGGGAACAACTTTTTCGGAGTTTCTTTTTTCTTCTACCTTATGTGGGTTCCAAGGATACAGTCAGCAGGCTTTTGCAGCAAGTGTCTTTGCCTGCTGAGCTATCTCATGAGTTATGGCTCACTGGCACTTTGTGATCAAGTGAAAGACATACCTTAGTAATGTTGGTGAAAATGAAGGAAAGTTCATGCCACTTTAATTTTGTTCGTATTCAAGCCTGGAAAAGTAAATGCAAACTCATTGTATAAGTATGTTAAAAGGACTATTTTAGCAGTCAAACTCTGGAACAAAATTAGAAGGGTAGAGTTCATAAGTGATTTTTTCCTTTGAAATATTTTTTATAAGTGTTTCTATGTTTATATTTTTAGAGGATGTGATTTTACTGTTGTTGTTGTTTTAGTTGTTTTGAGATTTTTTTTGTTTTGTTTTGAGACATTTTGTTTAAAAGAGGATGGTTGGTGTGGATCAGCACACCCAAATCTAGAAGAGGTATTTCTAACAGTAGTAATCATACAACCAAACACCTTTTTATCCTTTTATGTGTGTTATACAGAAGTAAAGATTACTGGAATAGGGCTCAACACAGTAATATCTCCTTTATTGGCATTGTGAGCTCACAGCATGCCCTTGGGCAAGCTGCTTAATCATTTCCATTGTCTTATGGTCTCAGAAGAAGATTATTAGACATTACAGGATTTCAGCACCTCTTGGAAATCTAAGATCTAAGCTTTTTCACTTTTCATAAAGTTTAGAAATTCTTTTTTGCTGGACAATTAGATGAATTCTAGGGAATATAGAGTGTCACCTGAGAATTTATATTGAAATATGGAAAACAAATCTTTTTTTGCTGATGATTTTTTTATTTTATACTTTTTATTTTTTTATATTAATCACAGGCTATTTACTTTGTATCACAGCCATAGCCCTCTCCCTCATCTCCTCCCTGCCCCTTTCCAAGTTGACTGATAGAGGAGGTCCTCCTCCCCTTCTGTCTGACCCTGGCTTATCAGGTATCTTCAAGACTGGCTGCAATGTACTCCTCTGTGGCCTAGCAAGATAATGATAATGTGCTCCTCCCTCGGGGGTTGGGGAAGGTCAAAGAGCCAGCCATTGAGTTCATGTCAGAAATAGTTCCTGTTCCCCTTACTAGGGAACCCACCTGGAGACTGAGCTACCACGGGCTACATCCAAGCAGGGGTTCTAGGTTATATCAATACATGGTCCTTGGATGGAGAAGCAGTCTCATAGAAGACCCCTGTGCCCTAATATATTTGGACCTTGTGGAGCTCCTGTCCTCTCCAGGTCATACTAACTCCCCCTTCTTTCATATGATTCCCTGCACTGTGCCCAAGGTTTGGTTATGAGTCTCAGCATCTGCTTTGATACACTGCTAGGTAGAGTCTTTCAGAGGCCCTCTGTGGTAGGCTTCGGTCCTTTACTAAAACAAATCTTCTTTTGAACATTCCTTGGTGATATTTTGAATGTCCAGTAAAAATCAACATATTGCCAAATAGGCTCATATATTTGAATGCTAGTTACCAGGAAGTAGAGCTATTTGAAATGATTACAACAATTAGAATGTATGGCCTTGTTGGAATAGGTGTGGCCTTGCTGGAGGGAGTGTTTTGAGATTTCAAAATCCCATGCCAGGCCCAGTCTTTCTTTCTCTGCTTGTGGATCAGGGTGTAGCTCTCAGCTAGTTCTTCAGAAGCACATCTGCCTGCCACCATGCTCCTACCATGATGATAATGGACTAAGCCTCTGAAAATGTATGCAAGCACTCAGTTAAATGCTTTCTTTTTGTAAGAGTTTCTGTGGTCATGGTGTCTCTTTATGGCAATAGAACAGTGATTAAGATGTTGATTTCTCAGTAAAATTTATTTTTGCTTTATGAAACATTATATATTAACTGTCATCTAATGCTTGTCATTGGTATTGAAAACAGAATAACTAAGGTACCCATTTGTAACAAGTTACAAATTATGAAAACTATCCCATGCAGTTGGATCTTTAATATATCTGTACTAATATGAATGTTTACTGTCTGCTTTCTTAGCTTCTGCCTAAAGGGAGAAGGATTGGATGGCACCTTCCCTGCTGTAATAGATTATACACCATATTTGAAGTTTGAACAAAGGTACTTAAATTTTTGAAATGTCATTGAAATCTTAATTGTAATTTAATGCTTTGAACAATTTTTCCTTGTATGCAACGTTCTTTTTTATTTCTTTTATATTTATTACAATTTATTCACTGTGTATCCCAGCCATAGCCCCCTCCCTCATCCCCTCTCAATTCTACTCTCCCTCCCTTTTCTCCTCCCATGCCCCTCCCCAAGTCCACTGATAGGGGAGGTCCTCATCCCCTTTCCTCTGACCCTAGCCTATCAGGTCTCATCAGGACTGGCTGCATTGTCTTCCTCTGGCAACATTCATTTCTTGTCAGAAAATATTAGATAGAACTAGGGAGATGACTCAGTGAATGAAGTGCTTGTCTTGCAGTGTGAATTCTTAAGTTAGGATCATTAAAACTCAGAAAAAAAAGATAGCCATGGTGTAATGGGTATGTAGCCTTAGCTCTGGGCAAGTAAAGACAGGCTGTCCCCCCAAATTCATGGTGGCCGATTGAATAAAGAGACCTCAGAAATCTCAGGAAATAAGATGGAGAGCCATAAAGATAGACACTCAAAGTTGACGCCTGGTGTATGCCACACACACAAAGACACTGAGAGAGTATTACTGAGTGTCACCTCTAATGGCACTGTCAATATTTATGAAAACATACACTTTTATATTAATCTCATTGTGTAGCTTATATAAAAATGTCTATTATATTGCCATAGCAAAAATAATTACTACCCATGCTCTGAAATGATACATTAAAACTTCAGAACTATATAGTTCATTAGATTGTGTTCCATTTTGTAGAAATAAATTTTACTATCACTTTTGTTGTTAAACTTCAGTTATTCTAGGTAAATTCAGTGGAAAGTTTACTGACATGTATATTGAACTGTATGTTTATAAAAATTGTATAGAAATTAATCTCACTGTTAGTCTAGATAAGTGTTACGTAAGAATTGTGGATTTCTTAAAAGTTCTCTGAAAATTAATTAGGTGAAATCTGTAGAATTTGTTGAGTTTCCATAAAAATGATCTTGTGAATAGCATGAAAATGTGTTATACTTAAATATTGTAGTCAGGCCTAAGTTATAAGATACTCTGTATATATGTAATATAGATACATAAGCTTTCAAGGTATATATGTTACATATTAATCCAGGAAAGACATCCCCCCCCTCATGCCTCTGTCCCTCTTTTTTCTTTCTTTTTCTCTTGAGACTATAAGGTCTCTGTAGCCCTGGCTGTTCTGGAATTCACTATGTAGACCAAGCTGATTTTTAACTCACAGAGATCCACCTGCCTCTGCCTCCTAAGTGGCTAGAATTAAAGGCATATGCCACTATCCCAGCTTAAAAAGACAATTTCTTTTTGTCAGGTGTGTGTGTGTGTGTGTGTGTGTGTGTGTGTGTGTGTGTGTGTGTGTAAGACATTAGAAACTTCTGAAGGTACAGTCCCTGACTCCAAGAAAACCAGCAGCTGGAAAGAGAGTTTAACTAAAAATATGTGTGACGTTTTCTGAGGACATGTAATAACAGACCAAAGCAGTTATTACACCTAAGAGTAGCTTGGTGAACTGCTGAGTTCTTTGGGGTGAGTTGTATGAACATGGGTGAAAGACTCTCTTTCTTCCAAGTGATTGGTGTGCTCTAAACTTCTAGGCAGCTCAGCTTCTCTAAGAATCTTCTAGGCTTTTGTCCCTGCTTACAGACATCTTGGTTGATCTGTATTTCTTCCAGGTAGCTCAACCTCTCTCTAATTCTTTTAGATGGATTGGCTGGTCTGAACCTCTTTTAAACAGCTAGTCTCAATGGAGAATGTTCTCATCGATCTATACTGCTTATATTATGCTCAGGGAGGGAGGAGCTTAATGAAGCTGGTCAATTTCAGAGACTTCCTAAAGCTATGGAGTTGTTTATTTCCTATGTTTTATGAGCTTTCTTGTTGGATGGAATGTTTCATTTTTCCTTAGAATCTCCTAGTGTTTCAGCTTCCCTTTAACTCCCAGTGTTTTAAGGACCTTTCCTCTAAGATACAAGGTTTTAATCTCTAGAGAAACCACTGTACAGTAGCCAGTTAACTGTTTCCTTTGCTGTGTGGAATCTTTTTTATTTTATAAGCTCCCATTTGACAACAGTTGACATTATTTCTTATGCAACTGGCAACATATTCAGGAGTATTTGCTATATCTTAACATGTTTTCCTTTAAGAGTTTTAGGGCATTGGGTATTTATCAAGTCTCCAATTAATTGGAATTGTTTTCTATACAGGGATCAGTTTCATACTCTACAGATGTATTTTCCAGCACCATTTGTTGAATAAACTGTCTTCTTAATATAAGTACTTTTTAAATCTTTGTCAAAAACCAGATGGCAATAGATAGCTTATATCCGGGCTGTCTATTCTGTTGCACTACAAGTCTGTATTTGTGCCAGTGTTGTGCTGTTTTATGACTATAATTCAATGGTATAACTTAGATATGATGGTAATGTCAGCATTATGTTTTTTGCTTAGGATTGCTTTGGCTATCAAGGGTCTTTTCTGCTTCTATATGAATTTTAAGGTTTTTTTTTTGTTGTTGTTGTTCTATTTTTGTGAAGAATGGTTTTGAAATCTTGATTGAGATTCCATTAACTTGATAGGTTGCTTTTGCTAAAATAGTCATTCTCACAATATTAATTCATTCCATGATCAGGGGAGGCCTTTTCATCTTTCAGTTTCTACTTTAGTTTCTTTAGTATAGAAAAGTTTTCATTGTAGATGGCTTTCACTTCCCTTTTTCTTTCTTCCTTTTTTTTTGAGACAATTGTGATTGTTTTCTTAATTTTTTCAATGTGTTTGTCCAAGATGGATGAAATTTTACAGTGTAAATAGCCCCTCATGTGTGGTCTGTATATAAGCCAAATAAACTCATTGTTTGATCAAGGTGGACTTTGATGTATGTGCCCTTTGATATGTCATGTATGCTCTGTATATAAGCCAAATAAATTTATTGTTTCATCAAGGTGGACATTGGTTTACGTGCACTTTGATATACAGTTGTGCCCTATTTGTAGTGAAGAATGCCTATCTATGACTTCCAAAGAAAAGCTAACAGTAGTTTATTAGATTAAGAGTTTTCTGGTGGTGTCGTCAGGGTCTGTTGTATAAATAAATATCTTGAGCTTCTTACTTCCATTTATATACCTTTTATTTTCTTCTCTTGTCTTACTGTTATATCCAGGACTTCAGTGTGTCCCCATGAGCCCATATATGTTCTATAGTTTTATTCCACTGTAGTCATTGTGCTGGGACTCATACATCTGAGGTTGGATTGTTGGTAGATGCGGTGGTTTGAATGAGAAACGTCCTACATAGGCTCACATATCTGAATAGTTGGTCCCAAGCAGGTGGCACTAGTAGGGAGGTCATGGAATCGTTAGGAGGGAGAACCTTGTAGGAGGATATACTAGGAAGGGCTTTGAAAATTTATAGCTTTACCCCACCTCCCAATTCTCTCCGCTTCAAATTTCGATTTGAAGATAAGATCTCTTGGCTTCTTGTTCTGGCCACCCGCTGCCATGCCTTCCTCACTGGACTTTATGGACTCTAACTCCTAAACCATAAGCCCAAACAAACTCTTTCTTCTGTAAGTTGCTTCAGATGATGATATTTTATCACCACAGCAGAAAAAGAGCTAACACAGTAGTCAGTACTAGAGAGTTGGGTTATTGCTGAGAAGAATCTGACTGTTGTTCTTTGGAGGAATGTGGAAGACTCTGAAATGTCAGATGAGAAGAGTTGTTGAATGCTCTAAACAGAACTAATTAGCCATTCTAGTAGGAACTTATAAAACAGATGCTGAGAGTAACACAGAACGGGGAGGTCTAGTTCTTGAGAATTCAAAGGAGAACCTCAATTAACAGCAATGCTTGGGGCCATCTATATGATATTTGGCATAGTCTGAGTGCCTTCTTGCCTTTAAGAACTTACTTGAAGCTAAATTTAGAAGTAAGGACTAGCTTTTGGAGGAGGATGTTTCAAGGGCACATAATACTGAGTCAATGGTATGGTTTTTTGCTGATAACACTTTCACTGCTCTATGGTGAGAAGGAGCATGAGGCCAGAAAGAAATACAAAACATACAGCTTGGAGTGAAAAAGAGCACCAGGAAGCTTTCTTTTATAGCAAAGCTATGTGCTGAAACAGAAGCTGAAATTGTTAAGGGGGTAATCACCATTAAATCAAGGTTTCCTGCTCTGCGCTAGAACATGGGAATAGTGTTCGCAGGACAAAACTCTACCCAGCTAAGCTTCCAACTTGTGAAAAGAGAAAGCCTAAAGTGATTCTTATTCCTAGAAAGCAATTGTTTCAACATACAAGAACTGCTGCTAAGGTGTTTTAAGAGTCAAGCATCTATCCCAAGTTGGCATCTGAACTTCACAGTGTCATTCTCATGGTGCTGGCTTTGGACACATGAAATTTACAAAAGCAAAGGGTTCTGTATTCTTTCTGCGTAGTTTCAGAGGCCAGGCAAGTGACTAGTGCAGTGCTATTGTCACTGTCAGAAGAGCATCCTGAGACAGCATTGTGTGAAGCCTGGGTTTCAGTGGAGACCACAGCACTTTGGAGATACCTGAGCCTTGAAATGTCTGCCAGGGAGAGCTGAGTACAGAGAGTGGAGCTAGGTCAACAGAAAGCTGTGTATCGCCATCATCAAAGCTGGAGGGACTGTCCCTTGGTAGAGGACATGGAGCTACAGGATTTAATAGTTGCCCTGCTGTGTCCTAGTGCCTTTGGAATAGATATATATATTGCTTTTTTATGCTGGAAGCATATGATTTGATTTATCATTCAATAAGGGATTCATAGTTAAGGGATTACTTTAGGTCTCAGAAGTTTCAGACTTTGAAGCAGTGTTGAGACTGTTAAAGACTATAGGGACTTTGAAAGTTGAACTAAATGCATTTTGCATTATGATATAACTATGAGCCTAGGGAGGACAAGGAGGAAGAGTGTGGTGGTTTAATAAGATACA